AGAGACAACTGGGATGTAGGTCAATGAAGTGACCCACAGTAAAGATGAGGCCATATCCAACAAGCTAGAAGACTGGAATAAAAAGTGGCCTACTGCCTTCTGAGTAGGCATGTTTTCTCTACTGCCATTGCCCACAGACAGCCAGGTTCAGACTCATCCTTTGACTCCTCAGGAAGCATCTGGACCTTCAGCATTGTACTATGGCTCAATCACTGATTCCTCTTGTTTTCAGAATTTCTGTCTCCATGAATGAGCATCTACCTTGTTCTTCAGTTTTCCAGGCTACAGAAAACCCCAGTAGTATTATTTAGCTTATGATTTTATTAGCCAGTTTAATAACCCTAAATGAGTATGTGCACACATGTGCATTTCCTGTTAGTCCTCTTTCTCTGACAGACCCTACTACATTCATGGTATGAGGAATTTAGGATTTTCAACTCCTATGCTAATCCCCATTCAATTAGGAATTCTGCCCCTCAAGTCTCTGTTACTGGACATGGTAATTATACATTTGCATCATAGGTTTTGAGAGATACAGATCAAAGTATTTGACTTTGGTATGAATTAATAATTGCAAAGGTATAAGAAAACCAAGAACTGAAATCCAAGAAACAGAATATAGGCAAACAAATAGGAAGAAATGTAATGTGAATTTTAAAAAGGAAATAATAGTAAATTTTATGTCAGTGCATTTAAATGGATAACGTACTGAGGAAACTAAACACAGTGAGGCAAGCTGCATGATTTACAGGGGGAAAGCTTTGTATGTAATTCACTCAAGTAGTGTTCACACTGAAAAGAACCCAGGGCCTACTGAAGTGATAGCACTAATGTGTTTATAAACTTATTACATTACTGAAATGTTAATCACAATAGGCTATCAAATCAGTAGGGAGAACAGACAGTGCAGGTCACAAATGGCGTTGATGAATGATTATTCGTGACTGGGTTAATTCTAGTAACTAACAAGTACTTTTGATCCCACTATAGCAAATGCAATGATACTGATGAAAATCTTTCCTAGTGTCTCCACACCCCCTGGTGGAGAAAATAAGTAACCACAGACTCACAATGCTTTACCATCAGCAGTACCTGAACAAGGGCTGAGATACCAGGACGTTTGGCCCTAAGGATTCATTTCCAGATGATGTTGAAAACCATGACCATTGCTTCACTAATTGTTACCTCATGTAGCCCCTCCCCTACACATACTGACAGTAGAGATGCAGGTTTTCTGCCTATTGTCACATGTTGCTTTTTTTTTAAAAGAAGTGAAATACTGTAAACAAACTTTTAAAAAATGTGCATGTGTGTGCTGGCATGTTTGAATATGGAGACCAGAGGACAAGCCCAATGCTGGTCTCATCTCACTTGAGACAGGGTCTCTTTGTTGTCTGTGGCTATGTAACCCAGGCTAACTGTCCTATGAGCTTCAGGAATTCTCCATCTTAACCCTCCAATTTTAGGAGAGAAGCTGCAAGATCAGACACAAGAGACCTTGTCCAGCTTTAGGTAGGTGAGTTTTGGAGATTTGAGAGAAACAAATTACAGTGAATTGAGTGAGCAGTTACTATATTTGCTCAAACAGAATATAACCTACAAAATAAAAGTTTGGCAACTTCAGCTACACAGTGAGCTCAAGCCTGGACTGGGCTATATTCACATACATGCACGCATGTATGCACACATCTTTTGGCCCTAAGGATTTATTTCCAGATGATGTTGAAAACCATGAACATTGCTTCACTAATTGTTACCTCATGTAGGCCCTCCCCTACACATAGACAGTAGAGGCAAAAAAGATGGGGGCTCCGAACATAAAACACAGCACTTTGGCATGTAAAGAACTTCAAAAGGAACTGTAGGGTCCAAGAAGTGTCCCCAAGTTAAGTCTCTAGCTCCTGACTCACCAGTCCTCTAGATGTGACTATTAAAACCAGAAGTCCTCTTCTTCAAAATGATAAGACTTGAAATCTCCAGAATGAAAACAGCACTCAGTCTCTTCTTTGTCCTTCCATCGTGGGTTCCACAGGCCCATGGATTATGCAGGGAGAATCCCCTGAACCCTCAGGCCTTGCTGGATCTCTTGCTTCAGCTATGACCATTTGTCCAATTACAGCTGTCCATTCCTCAAGGGAGCTAAGCATAAAGCTTTCCAGGGAGTGGGGACGCTTGGGTCTTTGTATTTACAGGCAACTGTTAACATAAAACGTACAGTAAACAGGCTCGCATCTTTATCTTGTGCCTTGTGTGGGGGATAACATCGTTCCATCTTCACCTCCCCCAAATGGTAGAGCAATGGCAGACAGACCACAGCCACGATGAAGGGAATGCTGACATCCCTACTTAGTGCTTCTAGAAGTCAGTTAGCATTTCTCCCAAAAAATCTTATTTGTTCCTCTCACCTTCCAGTGATCTCAGAATGGCTATATGAAATAATGCATGGAGAGAGGATTTTAAGTTACTATTATTTGTAGAGACATCTCATTTAAAATTCCGATGTCCTTTGTGCTTTTAGCATGAACTGACCTGCATAATTGAGCCATTCAGAATATAGTTAATGATAATGTCTTGAGATTCATCCAATTAACAGGTATTTGGCAGCTGAACTGGCTCCAGTGTGAGTCTAATTTTGTATGTGAAACACTCTTGACAGAGGGCATGTTTGTACCACAGCTTTGTAACCCTCCGTGAGAGCTTATCACTATGTGCTGCCTTGTCCCTGTTGTTGGCTCAGCCCTGACCACACCTGGCTCCTCTCCCTATCCTTTTAGCATGGAGAACTTACTGTTCCAAGCAAAATTCCCAGGAATCTAAAAAAAGGCCTAGGGAAGCCATATTTAGAAATATATGAAGGGTGTGTGATACAGACCGGTCACAGAGCACATACCCAACATGTACCACACTAAAGGTTAATTCCCAGTTCTGAAAAAACGGACAACAGGGCATCCAAAATCTAAGTCGGAGATGTCATGGTATGTGATCAAAACAAAACAGAACTTCTGCATGTTTGGACATGTACAGAGTAAAGGCAGGCATCAACTATGATTTACAGTAGAAAGAATGAATAACCATGCTTTTCAGTATATTTAAATGCCATTATTCCAGGAAAACAGCTTTCCATAATCATTCATAAAAGTGAAATTGAGATTTATTTGCACATATGAAATAAAAATAGATACACTTCTCATTTTTTAAAGAGAAATGTAAACATCTCATTATTTTCACTAATAAAGATGGGTCCTCTTTATTAAAAAAAAAACTACCATTTTAGGAGAAGTGAAAGATAATTTGTGACTTGTCTAGTGGCCCTTTACAACTGGGTGCAAGTTGAATTTATCTCATAGCAAACATCATCGAGGAATGGGTAAAACCTGAAATTGCATCAGTATGCTGCCGTCTTCCTTACGCCAAAACCAGATTAAACAAAAATAAAGACAGAAAGAGATCCAGATGCCTGTGAAGGAATACAGCTGTATTAAAAGTGATTTATTTCAAGTACTGTAAAGAGAATACTTCTTGCTGTTAGGAACTTCAGTGCTAGTTTTTATCAAATATAATTAAAATGCATGTTTGTAAGTAAAAAATGAATCAGTTGAGTTTATATGTATAACTGTGTTGGGATATCAAAATGGAGACCTTCACCACATCATCTTTCTCAAAATAATTCCAAGAACACTGAAACACATGCCTGTTTGCAGACTTTCTTATCTGGTTATAAAGGTTATTTGGAAATCTGTAAGTACAGGTCCTTTCTGCTGCCTCTGCTTGCGTGGGAGATTGCACAACAGTTAAGTCAGAGAACAAGAAGACTAGATAATGAAAGTGAGACATCTTTATAGGTGCAGCCAATTCAGAGTCGGGCCAAAGTCAACAGCTCCTCAAGCGCGATTATGTAAGACGTCTGAGTGCCACGTGATTAAAGGCTCTATTACCATTAGACTTTCTGCAACTTTTTAATATGAAAGGTTATTAAATATATTTTAGGGTATGCTCAATTTACTACAGTTATATTTTCTGAACTGCTCTTTCACATTTTAAGGGCATCAGTCGTCATGTGAAATTAATGAAAAGTGAATAGATATGTCAGCACCGAGGTCTGCATAAAGATATGAACTCTTATCAGACTACATGACTGTGACTAGTGACCCTATGGTTGCTTTTGAGTAACAGGTAGAAACCATTAGGCAGGTGGAGGACTTTCCACTGGATCTGGCTGTAGAGAGCAGAGCTCAGTTCATCAGCAGAAGGTTTTAATTAACAGATCACCGAGGAGAACAGAGACAAGGTAGTACAGATGGAAAATTCCAAGGACCATCCCAGTTGCACATCATTCCTCTATCATTGAAAGTGGATGTCTGTTGTACAGACCATTTCCTTCTCCCCTCAGTGTATCATAGGTCAGAGTTACTCTTAGACAGAGAATGTGTTTTCAGACAAGGATGATGGCAGGATCCCCCTTACCGCCACACTTCTGGAACCAGCACACACTGACTGGGGCTCAGAAACACCCTGGCATCTCATGCTGTTAGTTCCCCAGGAAGGCTTTCCTTGGGCGTTTCCAGCCCTTACCAAAGAGAGCCACTGGGCACTCCACTTTCACTATGCTACACATGCAATTAGTCCTGGAAATGAACCAAGAAGGCATTTCCAGAATCCTTTCTCCTTTCCAAACCCAATAAAGTTACAAACATTTGCTATTACTTGTATCAGCTCTTGGTATCATTCTGAATCTCTGTTTAGAAATATAAATGCATACATTACCCAGCATCCAGAGACTACTATTTTCTTACTAATTACTTGGCCATTCAGAGAAACTCTTATGTAAGGTACTGCCTAGAGATCTAGTGGACCAGAGTCCTTGCCCTTTCTGAGATGCTGGGGAATGAGAAGTGCTAGCAGGTGAGAAGCTAAGTTACTAGACCAGGAGCAGCTCCTGTCAACAGGGTAAGGGGGCTATGGAGATAGGGATGTCACATGGAGGCGCAAAAGGAGGCTTCTCTGAGCAAACTGTATTTATTAAGCTAAGATCAGGACAAGCTATACAACACAGTGACATTAACTATAACGTGGCTGTAGGGAATGCTGATCTCAATAAGGCCTCAATAAGAAATAAACACACACATCTCTAAGATATGTACACCTCATCAAAAAGGAATGACATATATGCTTAATAGTACAGAATAGAAAGAAAGATAGCTTGAACTGCTATACAGTACCTATGTGCACAATATTTCAAATACTTCCATTATAAATATTTATATGTTTTAAAGGGGGCATTCCTAGACTCATTATTATGCATTTTTATAAACATAAAAACATGGTATTTGGATACAACTTTATTACATAAATAAAAATAAATACCTCATGCCTGGGAATATTAAACTTAACATTATATGCATTTATAGAAAACAAGGACATTTAAGACATTACTTCTCTTACAGCTTTAAACCTCAGTACAAATTCCAGGCTATTAAAGCAGGTTTGTCCATTTGCTCTCAACTATGTTCACAATATGATTTTCAAGGCTACCATTTCTTAAAGGTATGTATTATTTACATTTGCTACTTTTAAATTAACACAGATTGGTATATAACACTAAAAGTGAGTTATCATTCTTGACCCTAAAATAAAAGTGGCAAAGTTAGCAAGGAAATAAGACTTTGTCATATAGGTAAAAAAATCAAAATAAAATGAGGAAGACATTAAATATGAAGAACACATCAAAGAACCCTTTATAATTGTGTTCTGAAAGACAATATTCAAATGTACACTGCGTAGAGGAGAGCACAAAGTCAGAGGCACAAAGTCGAAAGGGCATTTAATAGTCTTTTTGAATGTTCCAGTACCCAGACACAGGACCAAGCTGATGCAGACTGCAGAGGGAAAGGCAGGGCACCAAAGATGTTAACACAGGGGCAGTTACCACTCCCTCAACCTTAGTCCCTTGGCCTTTCCCTGTTGCAATTAGACAATTCGTCAACAGAAAAAGGATTGTGTTGCTAATTTTGTACAAGGTCATTAAGTCCACCCTACTGTGTTACTAGTCATTTATTTGGTCCTGCAACAAAAGGGAGTGTTATGATACAGTCAGTGTTGACACATTAACTTTCTTGATGTCTCTCCTTTAAGGAGCTTTCTCTGAAATCAACTGCAGCATTCAAGGGAACTCTTAAGGTAGCTGTGGATTAAAGTGATTCCGAGTCTGCTTCCTACATAACCACTCATCTAAAGGAAAGCAAACCTTCTAAAGAGCATCCCGGGGCTCCCAGATCCTGGCAACGTGGTCTTTAAGAGGCAAAACTGTTAAGTTCCATGGTATTACCTGTAAGCCACAGAGGTTATTGTTCTGGACTATGTAAACACACACACACACACACACACACACACACACACACACACACACACTCTCTTACATATGCATCCCGACTTCCTTTATAAACTCTTTAACTAAAATTAGATTTTCAGAGCATGAAAATGTTAACTTTTGGCAATATTGGCCAAATATGTATTGTGAACATGGATACAAAATCTTAAGGGGAAACTGAATGTACCTTATACTAATATATTTTATGCCAATGTTTTCAGAACTACACAGGGACAAATAGTCAAAAAATAACTGAATCTATTTGTGTGGTAAAACAGAAATGGCAAAGGCAAACTCAGCCATATGAGTTAATGAAGTCATATGAAAATACTCAAGTCAAATCTACACATCCTGGATAATTTGACAATCATATTCAATGAGTTTCAATGAAAACATTATTTGTAAGCAGATACTGCAAACCTTTTATTACATAATGATTTAAAACAAATGTCCTCAGACACTTTTCTAGCTGCTCATTGTGGCCACCGTGTCTTGTGAGAGTCATACCTTTTAAAAGTGATGTTGACTAGAACGTAAGTGGACTCTCAATAAAGCCTACCCTGCAGTGGCTGTGAAGGTACTAGTCATCTCTGTGGGCATTCGAGTCTCTGTCCTAATGCACACTTCTGTCTTTTAGAAACCAATTACACACAGAAATGGCAGTCATTCTTTTTGTATATGCATTTGTAGGCATTCCACATAGTGGATGAAAAGGCTACAAGAAAAATTCAAATTATTTTACAAGGTTTAGATATATTTTTCCTGTTTTTAAAACAGGTAATGCCCTTTTGTTTACACTGGTTAAGGTATTCTTTTTTTTTCTTTTTGCACATGTATGTATGTATGTATGTATGTATGTACGTACGTATGTACGTATGCTGGGGAGGAGGCAGACCCATGAGTATGCATGCCCATGTGTGTGCCCAGAGGTCTGAAGCTGACCACGTTTTCCTGACTGTTCTTTATTGAAGAAGGATCTCTTGTGGAATCTGGAACTATCCCATCTAACTAGTCTAGCTAGCCACCTGTCCCAGTATCATCTCTGTCCTGAGACTGTAGGTGGCCACCATGCCTCATGGGATTCACATGGATTCTGTGCATGCAATTTCTCCTCCTCACACCTGCTCTATTGATTCCATCTCTCTAGCCCTAATTTTGCTCCACCTGAAATTATGTTTCCTTTTTTTTTTTTAAAGGCAGTTTCATACTGTAGCCTAGGGTATCCTCCAGGTCACAGTGGTCTTTCCTTAGTGGTAGGATGAGGCATGTGTGCCCATAGCTGGCTTTGGTAATCTTTTGAACTACAACTGTTACCCACATTGTATTTAACACAGGAAAAAGTGCCGGGCAGGGCCTGAACAGTGAGGGAAATGATTCTGAAGTCTTTGCTTTCTACATGATTGAGAAAGATTCTCCACAGAGATCTTGTTTTAACAAACTATCTTAGCTCTCAGATGACACAGGACTTTAATCCTAGCACTCAGGAGGTAGAGGCAGGCAGATCTGAGTTTGAGGTCAGCATGGTCTACCTAATGAATCCCAGAGCAGCTGGGGATTATACAGCAAGACTCTATCAAAAAGACTACAAAACAAATTCCCAGCTCATTTCCAATCCCTAGGTCCTCTATAGCATATTCTGGCCAACCAGAAGGGAGTGGGCTCTGCTGCTGGGACAATCCCAAACGGTGCATGTGGCTTTGGATTCCATCAGCCTCAGTGTGCAGCTGGACAGATATGTGCAGAGCAGAATCTGTATAGGACGAGCTTAAGACTAAGATGAAATTTTCAAGTAAACTTTAACCCGTGTCCTCTTTGCTGGTTGTAATAGAGTTTGACAGTAAATAGAAACACTGTGTGGAGAGGTGATTTATAAAGAGAAAGCAGGGCTTCTCTAAGAATACTTAGTCTACCAAACAACTACTAACACTTAAAAAAGGTATTTAAAAAAAATGACAGCACTGTCAGGAAAACCTGATGTATAGAAAGAAATGAGGTGATTGTATAACCTTTAGAGAATGGGGGAGTGGGGGTGGCGCGGAGGAAATGGCTCAGTAGCTAAAGTGCTGGGTGGGTAGGATGGTTGCCTACAATTCCAGCACTCAGAAGGTGGAGACAGGGAATCCCCAGGGCAGGTTAGCCAGACTAGGTGCAATGGTGAGCTCTGGGTTTAATGGCGAGAGCCTGCCTGAATAAGGTGGAAAGAGACTGAGGGAGATTTCCAACATCAACACCAGGCTTCTCCAAACACACACACACACACACACACACACACACACACACACACACACACACACAAACACACAGACACACATGTAATAAAAAGGTTTGCAGAGGAGATCATGCATATGACACAGTTCTGTTTTCTCTGAAAAAGTAAAAATTAGAGAGGGGATTATTTATGTTACATAGAAAGATTCTTGGAAGAGCATCCTATTTAATGGACCTAATCTCCATGGCACACAGGAGATCTTGAAGTTTCTTGACAGACCTTTGCTACTGTAGCATGAAGGGCACACAGTACAACAGAAGGAAGAACCGAGCTCTGTGGCTTCTGTGAAAGGAAGATGACGGGGAGGGGGGGCAGTCAAAACTCAGAGGACTGAGTTATACAAGCTACACATTATCCTAGAGCCTTAGACGTTGAACGGTGTGTCTGTCTGACTCCGTGTTCCTTGGTACCAGTGACTCTGTTCTCCATTGCTTCCGGCCCCTTTACAGGTCAATGTTTACAGTATATTTTATAACTGTCCTACCATTTACTTGTCAGCAGATAATTCATTTTTACTGTCATAGGTAGAAAGGATACCCCAACTTAATTTAGACAATCTTAATGAGATTTGGGACTTCTGAGTCAATAAAATCCAGATAAGGATTTTTGGACCCTGTTTTGGACCCTGAATCAATGCAACAGGTTGGGGTATCTGAGCACCTGTGAATGGGGTGACTTTATTTGGCAAGTGAATCTTTGCGACAGTATAGACTGGGGTAAGAAAGCATGTCAATCCCTGCAACCACATGAACATGTAAGGGAGTCAGAAAAGAGCAACTCTGGAGAATGATTACAGTTACTGTAAAGTCCACACTCGGCAGTGACGACGGAGTGCCCTGTGCTCCTCCTATCTCATCCTTGTCAGGAGCATGAACCACAGGTCAGAGAGATGCAGTGCTGGCTGTGACATGAAGGAGAGCACCATGGGAAAGGGGCACAGTGGCCTCTGGAGGCTCGGCACCCAGGGAGGGATTCTCTATAGAGCCCCCATGCAGTCCCAGCAACACCTAGATTCTAGCACAGAGAAACATGAGTTCAATTTTCAGCTTACGTAGTACTAAAATAATAAATCTGTGCTATTTCAGTAATCAATTCTGTATTTTCTTATGTCAGCAATAGGAAATGACACAGAAATGGTGACCAAGGATAGAATGGAGGCCAGGGGCAACAAGCTTTTCTGTCATTCCTGGTATTACTCATGCCATCCAAGAAATGCCTGGATTAGGGAAACACAAATATCTTGCTGGTAATTTTTACTTCAGCCTCTCAGACTGAATTCGTACACTGAGGAATATATTATGTGTTGGGCACATACACACATATGTGTTGAACACCTCCAACAGTGTTTCTATGTGTAATAGAGTCCCTATAAAAATGCTGATTGAATGTATGACTGTGATCCAGACAGGCTCTGGAAGGGACTATAATTTTTTGAGTTTAAAGTGCTGTCTATCACATCTTGTCAAGAGCTGATGACTTTTCTATCTATTCAAATTTAGTTTATGACAGTTGTAATTCTATAAAACACAAGGCTAAACTGTATTTTGTGGTACTAAAATAGTTTAAACAATATGTAAAAAGAATATGCAAAATCTTAATTGTATGAACAAACGACCTCAGACTCAGAGGAGACGCTATGGATATGTTACAGAGAAAGGATCCTTTCTGGCTACTGGTCACTGCTACATTAAGAAACTTGAGTGCAAATTTTATCAAATGCATTTACCAAAAAGGGGTTCTTTTCATTTCATCTGGAAATGTTATTACATTAGCATTGAGCATGTAAGAAGTTGATCGGTCTAAACATTTACAAGCTATCAATATAAGCCAGCCTTACAACAAAAAATTCAAACATCAAGATCTACTCTTTGTCTAAATTTATCTAGACAAAGACTGAAAGACAGAACAGCAGCAAGACAAGAATTTATCTGAATAAAAAAAATAATTTGGTTGTTTTATGCTAGAAGTATTTTTCTAATATGGACAACATTACCTACTCCTATATGCCACTACACAGGTTGGATCAATTTTATTTTAGCTGCTGGAGTATCACAGTGTTAAGAATATCTGCTTCTTGTAGTGTCACGCTTTCATCTGTTAGCTCTTTACTTGGAAACGAAGTCACAAGAATAAAGTCAGTAGTTGCAAACTCAGGACGTGACTGTACTATAAAGTCTCGTACATCCAGAATCCTGAAGGAATAAGTAAAAATGGTTTATTGTAAAAAAAGGACATTTTTAGTAAAAATCATTCTCACAATAAAAATTATATAATCACAACTTTTGTTTAAAGGTGCTATAATTTTCTTTAATATACATTATTTTGATGGGAAAGTTCAGATTTTAAAAGAAAAATAACTTTAAAGTATACATTTATAATAAAAAAATAATCTTAAAGTGAATTATATATAAAATAAAGTATTAACAATATGCTATCTTAAAAGTATAAGTCTTACTGTTTTCAGAGTAAGAATTATTAGTAGCCTTAGTGTCTAAGTCATCTGTGGACACTGGGCTGTCTAACATTACCAAAAGGATTTTACACGCACCCATCCATACATGTAAAAGCTATGTGTGGTGGTACAAGTCTGAGTTTGAGTCTAGGCTTGCCTAGGCTACACAGTCACACAGTGAAATCCTATCCTTAAAAAAACAGTAAAAAAAAAAAACAATTTAAAAAATTACTCTCACATATACCTAGTAACTTAACTAAGACCATAAATGCACAAGAGGGTCTTATACTTAGTGAGAAACAAAAGTACTCGTATGTTCAGAGAAATATTTATATTCAAGTGAGTATCAGAGACAATGAAACAGTGTATTAGAGATTCTGTACCAACGAAATAAACTACTCACACCACACATTTACATTATGAAGTTGCTATACAGAGAGGTCGGATTAGAATTTCACTAACCTTTTGAGAGAATGTCTTGTCATGTACTTCAGACTTACTTCAAACTTCTAATTGTTTTGAGTTTCCAAATGATGGTATGACAGGTGAGTACAACCATGCCTAGCTTACAGTGACCACCATTTTAACTGAGAAAGTCCTGATAGGGTCTTATTATCTTAAATCTGAGTCCATTTGATGCAGTTTTGATGACAATGCAAAACTACTGCTTTTATCTTTGAGTTCTCTGAACTTGGGATGGATTGGATAATTTACTAAAATTATGGCTATTTCATTTATTGTAGGTAGTGGCTATCCTTTTAAATATTCTTCTGTCAAAAGTGTACTTTAAAAAATGTAATACCTCCATCTATGCAGTAAGCTTCATACAGTTTTCTGTAGATGAAACAGGATACGAACACAAAGACCCCCAACTGGCAGAGCAGCTTACCGGTGAGTGCTGTTAAATCTCTGTATGAGACGACTTCCATCTGCCAACCTGATCTGAATTTTTGTGGTGGGTATTGAATCATCAATAAGAACAGCAGCATTCAGTATTGATTTGTCCTCTTCTTCTGGGGAGGAGGGAGTACTGACGATTTCAGGTGTAAGGCTAAGAAAGAAGAGTTTATGAATCTGAGCACAGAGTACGTAAGGCCACAGGACACACTCAAGGTAGCAAAGCCTCAGCTCTCCAGTCAACTGTGCTGTGATCCCTCAGAGGACTTCCAAAAAAATAAGACTCAGTTTCCTTCCAGCTTCCTCTACTTTTTAAAATTTTTATTGATTTTATTTATTTATACACGAGTGCTCACTTTGCATGTATGACAGAAGTGAGCATCAGACAGAAGACTGCATCAAATACCATTGTAGACAGTTGTGAGCCACCGGGTGGTTGCTGGGATTGAACTCAGGACCTCTAGGAAGAGCAGCCAGTGCTCTTAACCACTGAGCCATCTCTCCAGCTCCACTTCCTCTACCTCTTTTGGCTTCTTTAATTATATTAAAATTAGTCTGGAGCCTATGATTCCTCCTTATTAATCCCAGCTCTCTTAGAAGACTAGCTGTAGTCCTTCAACTGTATCTCGGAGTTTTCCTCATACTGTTTCCTTACAGTTTGGTGAGAAATCAGAAATCAGAGAGTTAATATCAGCATGCCCAGGAGCATAAAGAAAACAGATTTCAAATCCCAGCTATGCTATAACCGGGTATACTGGAGGAAGTCCATCAGCCTCGGCTAATTCTCTAAGCTGTATTCTGTAATGCGTTATCCCAGAAAGTCCTAGAACACAGAATTCAAAAATCTACTTTTGCTTATAAAATCAGAACTGAACTGAACTTTAAAACCAGTTAATACTACTTTGTAACACTTGATTTAAAGAGATACTGCTTTGCAAAAGAAAAATAACTCTAAGCTATTAGAGAGAAATTTTATTCATGATGACAAAGTCATATTGAAGTTTACTAGACAGAATACCTTACCACTTGATCTTGACTACTAGTGACGTTACTGGTTTAATAGCTTGTAATGATGATCAGACATAAACTAAAAGTTATGTGAAATGAGAACTCTTTCAAGATTAAAACAAGTTTCATTAAACTTCTAACATCCCCTTAGCATCTTAATGGAGTTTTTATATCTTTGTTTATTCTCTCAAATACTAAGATTTCAGGGTCCCCCAGGTATTTTACTTTATACAGCCCCTGCTATGAGCACTAGGCATTGACTCTTACTCCCAGTTTCTCCCAAACTATTATCTGATACTAAAGTTAACTGAACTTTATTGCCCAACACCTGCTCCCTCTCACATTTCCAGATTTAAAACCAATCTGAAAAAACATGTGATAAAAATAAGGAAAAGAAGAAAACAGCAAATTACTAAATACTTAAGGAAATTCTTCAAGTTCCAAACTGAAGACATAAGCAGTTATGTTGTCATGCTACTGCCCAGGGGAGAGAGATATGGAGGTCAGAAAAGAGGTACAAAATGGTATAGGATGCCTTCCTCATCAACAATCCGCCCCACACACATCAGCAGCAGTAGCAGCAGCTCTGTGCGGTCATCTCCCTCACTTGTCCTGTGGGACCCTGACCAGTCAGCCATTCGCACTGACGGAATCCGTCTGGTGAGAGACAACTGCTCTGCTGTACAGACTATCTTCATCAGGAACAAGAGCACTTCAAGGTAGGTTTCTACTCTACCTAGAGGTGGAACCTACTGAGAAATGAGAAAGCTGACACAGCTCTTTTCTATGACATAAAGCTACTTCATAATGCTGTTTCCATCACCTAAAGTTTTCGTTTGGAGAAACATTTTGAGCAGGCAAGCTTTTTCTGAAACAAAAATGAAGTACAAAGCAGGAAAAATAATCTAGGTAGAAAGCATCTTGATGTGTCTCCTTGTAAAAAGCATGTATGTGAAAATGAATTATTTACAAACTGAAATGGATGGACTTTCCGAATAGGTAGGGTACCATGTCAGTGGAAAACTCAGAGTCAGAGGTAGACCAGAACTCTGTTAAATGCCAAGTTCAGTACTGGTAAGCAGGCATTGTGGTTATATTGTCAAATTCTTTGAAGCCAAAGTAATGTTCTTAAGCACATGATGTGGGAATGGAACTGGGGCCGAGGGAAGGAAGCAGTGAGCATCTGGGATAGGCCATGAGGGTCCAGGAGGCAGCACTTCCTGCTCTGCAAGGCTCACACTGTAAGCAGTCCCAGCTGCATGAGGTAGAAGTTCTGATGACTGAAGCAAGCCTTCAAGGGTTGTCCAAGCAGCAGGACTAGCAGGAAATAGAAGGCAGGCCAGCTGCTCATCTTTACATAATAGCATCCCTGAGGACTAGAGACATGGGTAAAACTGAACTTCAGAGTCAGTGCCAGAGGACCGTGTGGCAAGCAGAATCTTCTCTAAGCAGCATGCGAATGAACAGAGAATGCCTTTGGACACAAAGAGAAAGCTACTCAAGTTTCATCATCCATTACTGTCCAGCACAGTTACAAACCCAGGGAGAATGTCACCTCTAGCCTTCCTGCCAATGTAAGACTCCAGCTCATCTCAGGCTATCCTACCATTTTGTCTCTCATGACTTCCTTATTTCTATTATGTAACTGGATAACATTTTTACTCTGTGATTACCTCATAATGACTTGTGTATCACAAAACATGGCTAGTCTATTTACAAAGACGATACAGACAGAAGTTAGTATGCTCAACATAAAATGTTATGCATAATTCTTCACTTTAAAAATGTAGTAATTGATTAAATATGAGTTTATGAGTACTGGGTAACATTACATTAATATTCTAGAGTTAATTTTCTGTATAATAAAACTGAACAAATTTCTTTTTCCATTTTGAGGCAAGATCAGGCTTTGGCAGCCCAGGCCAGCAAGAGTGGGTAAACAGCTGAGACTGGACACAGCCTGGCAAGAAGCTGATGATGACCCCGAAATTCTGTTCTTCCTGCCCCTATCTCCTTAGCGCTAGGACTGCAGGTGTGGACCACCAGGGTAGGTTTGTAGTGCTGAAGACAGAACTTAAGGGCTCCTTAACAAGTCACAGAAAACTACCAACTGAAGCACGCTGCTCTGCTGCAGCACCCCAGTGTTTATTCACGGCAGATACAGCCACTTAAAAGTGGGAGGTAAAAATAGATCCACTGTGTTCTCCAATCAGCATTACTTTATAGCTTCTCTTCTGAAGCCATGTGATAGGAAGCAGAAATGAAACTGCACACACGACAGGGGGGGGGGAGGGGAGAAGGGGAGGGGGCAGTATGTGCAGGAAGGATACGCTCAAAGCATTATGCATTATATACTTACAGGAAAATGGCCTTATGCAACCCTACAAAACAAACAAACAAAACTGAACCAGAGGACATGGTACAGCAGTGAAAAGCACATTTCCCCAGAGTGCTTGGTTGGAACCTAGTTCTAAAAATTCTCTAGCTCCATCATACCTTGGGCAAATTACTGTTATTTCAAAACAGAGTAACAAGTATTCATACATTAAATTTACTTTTAATTATATGTATGTGTGCCTATGTGGCTATGTGTGCACATGTGTAGATGCCCATGGATTCCTGAACTGGAGTTACAGGTAGTTGTGAGCTGCATGGCATGGGTGTGTGAAGCAAAGTCAGGCCCTCTGTAAGAGCAGTGTGTGTTAAAGAGCTGTTATCAGAGAGTTTAATGCATGTAAGAAGTACTGATCCCTGGGTACTTGCTACTAGGATTATACAAGCTACACACCTACATACAGCAGGAAGGTCTTCTTAACTCAGACTACACTTCTTTACAAGTCATTTTGATTTCTTATTCTCAAAGAAATGTCATTTTGAACAAAGAAGTATTTTTAACACTAGAGGAATTTTACCTTCCAAGTTTTTGCCCTTCTCCACTAAAGGCCTTGAATCGCAATCTGGGTTTTATGTACTCTTGGTCTTGATGGTCCTCCATATCCAGGTTCACTTGGCTGCCATGGACCAGTCGCTGGAGCTCCAGGGGAATCTCTCTTAAAAGGAGGGAGGGAAGGTTTTAGTTAACCTTGTGAAACATTGTACTACCCCACTGAGATGACTGTATTAAACCACAAGCTACATGCTAATATACTTGTTTTCATGGTGATTTTGGGGTTCACATAGATTACATCACACTTTTCTAACTTCGAGGATTTATTTGGATTAGTGTTTTCTCTGTTTGTCTATGTACCACATGCATACGTGGTGCCACCGAGGGATAAAACTCCTGGGACGGGAGTTAGATTGCTATAAAGTACCATGTGAATGCTAGGAAGGAAATGGATTTCATGATGGCATTGCATACACACAGGACATGGTACGTCGTTCCTCCTGGTGCCCCCCCCCCCCCCCCCGCTGCTCCACGCCTTTCTCTGTTTTGCTGCCATAGACGGCCTCCTTTCTTTCATCTCACATGTACTGATTAAACTCTCTCTACCTACGTTAATCTCTCTTCTTCTCTTTTCACGGTCCCCTTTCTAGTTTCATAATCTATGTACTCATATATAAACACAAACATTGATATATCTACTCATATACAGAATCATAAATTTAGATGATGCATATGAGAGAAAACACATGGTATGTGAGCCTGGATGATATTACTTAACAGTTCATAGAGTTGAATTACGTATATTTACCATGTTTTCTTAATACATCCATCTGTTAACGAACATCTAGGCTGGTCCAATCTATGGGCTATTATGAACAGTGTACCCATAAACACGGATATACAAGTATTTCTATGGTATCTTGTCTTAGAGTTCTTTAGGAAAATATTCAGGAATCATATGTGTCATATATTATGTAGTTGTATTTTCAGTCTTTGGAACAATCTTGTAGATTTCCTTGGTAGCTACATAGATTTACATTCCCACCAAAAGTGAGTAATAGAGATCTTCATTTTTTACATCTTTGTACTACAGGACATCCTGTCTTATTCAACTTGTCATGGGGTACATAGAATCACCATACCTAGCTGTAAATATTTATTTCTAACTCCATCCTGGAGGGAACTAGAAGCTGATAAGGGTATTTTTGATTATCAGTAACAGGTAAACACCACTATGCTTCAGAGTCAAGGGCAGAGGCCGTGGAATACACTGCTATGGAAGACTGGTCTTACCCACTGAGGACAGTATCACAGCTACACCAGTCAGCATGTGCCGGAGATTCACCCCGGGAACGACTCTCTTCTTTATAATGTCTGAGCCTAAGTCTATTTCTGTCGTACAAATAAGCAGAAAGCACTAAGCACTTTGGGGGAGTTTCATTTCACTTTTTAACATCCTTTGCAGTTCCAGAATATTTACCATTTAAACTGCCAAGTGCTAGAATGAGCACCACTAACAGTAATGAGCACCACACACTTCATTATGGTCATTTTCTGCTTGTTACACGGAAAGTGCTAGATTGATGAATCAGGCACATGCATATTAGAATATGAATTTATATTAAAGGAAAAATGTAAATACAGACAGACATTTTTGACTTACGGAAAGTTACTTTTCTATATTTAATATATGTAAGATAGAATATATCAATTTTTGGAGAGGTGATGTGTATAAGCGGATTATACTACCTAATTGCTCTTGAAGACTAGTAAAGACAGTATTCCAGAGAGAAGCCCAAACTGATATTCTTCCCAGAAAGGAGACTTTGCTCACTGTTTGTACTTGATGATATTGTGTAAGCTCAATGAATGTCCTACTTGCCTGAAAATTAACTTTAGTAAATAATTAATATTTTCTTCTATCACCTTGAAGCTAGAGCTTGAATTTGAACAGCAACATTGGTTTTCACATATTACTTGAATATTTTCATCACTTGTTACTCCTAGTTTTCAACTGTAAAACACCGTCTTAACTACTACATCCAAGTAGTCGCTACCAATGACTTCAGCACTCTATTGACAGCATTTCATGCCTTTGTTTGGTATCCTTATAGTATCTAGGCAAATTTAAGTTAAAAATTAAATTTACACACTAATTCGCTCTCTACAATGTCTTTCTTTCAGAGTTTCTTTGTTTCAAAGGATTTTTATCCCCACCCCATTTTAGCCCCTCTCCTTGGTCAGGTTTCATTAAAAGGGGCTCTACCTTCAGTTTCTTTCTTTTTTTTTTTAGAGTAGCTTTTTAAAGTATCAAATTTATTTTTATTTTATTTTTTTAAATCATATTGTAATTTTTACTTATTCACACAGGGGTTATAAATACAAAAAGGCAGGATGTGGGGAAGGGGATGACACCGGAGTGTAGGTGTTCAAGGGGAGTACAGATATCTTTCAGAACAGGGTATCAGCTGAGTGAAGGTTCAGGGGACAGGTCACAATGACTCTGCCTATGATTCACTTGTCCTTATCTAAGTTGGTACTATCCGCCAAGGCTACCTATTTACAAGGCCTATGACTACTCAGGCTGGTAAATTTCCACAAAAGCTGCCTGAAGACAATAGCTTATAGCCATCTGTTTCAGTGTTTTTCCAAAGACTTTGTGTTAGCATGCATGTATGACAGGCCTATTGCTGATTTTAGGCCTTCAGTGTATAAGCCGGGCTGCCCCTGACATCTCCTCCCTTCTCTAAGTATAGAAGGGCTATGGGGATTCTAATCTTGTGAAGGTGGGGATACTACCTTCAGTTTCTTTATGGAATGTTGGAGTCTTGGTTTGTGCTGAAAGAGATAAAGAGAAAAGGAATAAAGGGAGTGGTGCCCTCAGGGAGACTCCACCCTGCTAACCCTGCAACTGTGTGAAAAGAAAAGGCTTAAGGAATTATCTGCTCCTAAAGAGCAACAACAAATCAAAGCTTATGCAAATGTAATTCCAGGAGGGGCCAAGGTTCTATCAGAAGCAGGCAGAATTTGAGAGCTCTGGCCATAGGGTTCTGAGTTTACAGTAAAAAGGATACAGGAGTAAAGTAGAGGGGTTAAGGGAAGCTGCTGTGGACAGGCGCTTGGCAGGGGATTCCCTGAATGGAGACCCAGAGAGGATACTATGTGAGACTGTGAAAGTGAGGCTTGGATTTTGGAGACCCCAAAATGTTGGAGATGGCAGAACCATGGAATATCTGTCAAAGAATATTATATATACAGGGAAGGGAACAAGGCAAGATAGAGAAGTGTGCTGTAGTCAACAAAGCTGGAAGGAATTGGACTTCTAAAGAGCCATCCAAGCCATCTGATGTCAGACATAGGAGTACAGGATTTGGAGTTTGCCCTGCTAGATTCTGGTCTTGTTTTGGTTCAGTATTTCCTCACTGTATTCTGATTCCTCCATTTTGAAATGGTCATCAGTATCCTATACCATTGTAAGTGAGAAGTATATAATTTGCCTTGAGTCTCAGAGGAAAAGATTTTAGATTTTGAAACAGTGCAGCAACTATGACTATGAAGACTTTTAGTTGTACTAAATGAATTTTACATTACTATAAGGCTCCAAGTCTATGAGAGCCAGGGAGTAAAATTTGGTGGTTTTGAGTAAGAATAGCTTCCATTGGCTCATATATTTGAATACTAGGTCACTGTTCACAGTTGGTGGAACTACTTGTGAAAGATTAGAATGCCTGGCTTTGGAGGAGGTGTGTCACTGGGGCTGGGCTTTGAGGTTTTGTAGCCCACAACACTTCTGGTTGGCTCTGTCTCTCTCTGCCTTATGCCTGTTGCTCAGATATACGTTCTCAGCTACTGTTTGCATGCTATGCCTATGTGCCTACAGCTATGATCATGGCCATGTGCCTACACCTATAATGATCATAGCCTCACCCTCTGAAACTCTGTGCCCCCATTAAATGCTATTTTTTTATGTTACCTTAGTCATGCTATGTTGTCGTGGTGCCCTGTCAACAGGAAGCAGGGTAGAAGCTTCATAGCTAGCTAGCTAGCTAGCTAGCTAGGCATTTACTTTATTGATTTATTATATTAAGATACTTCTTGGAGGGGGCTCCAGAGATGGCTCAGTGCTTAAGGACACTAACAGCTCTTCCAGAGGTTCTGAGTTCAACTCCCAGCAACCACATGGTGGTTAAAACCATCAGTAATGGAATGTGATGGCCCCTTCTGGTTTATCTAAAGAGAGCAATGGTGGACTCATATACATAAAATAAATATTTTTTTAAAAAAGATATTGCTTGGAGCAAAGCCCATAGTGTCATCATAGTTGAAAGAAGTTCAATCATCTAATGTCCTTTTTCCACAAAGATCACTTATGTAATATGTCATAGTAATTATCTCTTGAAAGCTAGTAGTATATACAGAACAGTTAAAAAAAAGAAAGAGTGCTGGGAGCTACGCTATTTTGTCAAACAGCTGCCACACAAGCATGGCAGCCTGAGCTCGACCTCCTGCACATAGACAGAAAGGGTGGATGTGGTGGTATGCACTTGTATCCCAGCACTGGGGTCACAGATCCTGGAGCGCAGTCATCAGCCAGCCTGGCCTATTTGGCGAACTCTTGGCAAATGAGAAAACCACTGAGGTTGACCTATGATTTCCACATGCACTTGCACACATACACAGTCACAGGAACATGCACGCACATACTCAAAATAGTTCCACTCAACATGACAAACAGATCACAAGTAATTCATCTTACCCTCTCTTAACAGACTCCAAAAACTGAGCATTTGTTGGATCATTGTAAGGTCTCAATTCTCCGTCATCTAAACTGAAGCCGTTTCTCCACAGCTTAAGTAAAACCTGAACCTTTGGAGGTAAAAACAAAACGCAGTCACTTCCAAATAATTATAAGTTTCAGGGCACTAACAGCTCTTCCAAAGGTTCTGAGTTCAACTCACAGCAACCACATGGTGGTTAAAACCATCTGTAATGGAATGTGATGGCCCCTTCTGGAGTATCTAAAGAGAGCAATGGTGGCATTGCTAACTCTACCCCTAACCCTAACCCTACCCCTACCCCAACCCCTAACCCCTAACCCCTAACCCCTAACCCCTAACCCCTAACCCCTAACCCCTAACCCCTAACGCTAACCCTAACCCCTAACCCCTAACCCCTAACCCTAAATACTAAACCCTAACCCTGAGCCCCTTCTGGTGTATCTAAAGAGAGCAATGGTGGCATTGCTAACCCTAACCCTAACCCTAACCCTAAACCCTAAACCCTAAACCCTAAACCCTA